CTCGTCTCAAGCAGGCGGTGCGAGGGCCTGGGCGAAGCCCCCGCTCCCGGGGGGAGGAGGAGAGGAGACCGGGCCGGAGGCGTCGCCTGGCCTGCCCGCATGCTTGTGCCACCTGCGCCGTGTCCGGGAAGGTAGGACGTGCCGGGACGGTTAGCGATAAAGGCGATTAATTCTGCCCCGGCGTTCATAAGGCCTGGAGGGAGCCGTGGAATAACCAGTGCCTAAAAACTGGTATGGTTCAGGTCACCGATGGGCAATGAAGGAAAATGTAAACCATGCCCAAATACTCTGGCGTGTGGCTCTGGTGTAAGCTGATGAACTTTCACATCTCACTAACTTCGCTCGCAAGCTCAGGACTTTGGTCTGTGATGACGAGATGGATCTGACTGTGCAGATGGGTTGGGGCTCCCTCTTGGGTGCTCCACACCCACGGCTCCTATCAATTCAAAATAGGTGTTTGCACCACTGTGATCTTTTATCACAGCTCTCTCCTCTCCATTCGTTGGGCCATATATTGTCTTTAGAAAAGAGAGAAAGAAAGAAGGAGCTTTCACTCTTCTGAGCTAAACATGGCGAGCATGAATCAAACATGGACCATGACCAGTGTGCAAGGTAAGATCATCTTCACGGCAAGATACCCAGTGACAACCTGGTTATGCTGTGTTCCAGTTCTCCAAATTAAGAGGAGTTGTCATCCTCCTCCGTCTCACCTCTGTGCTAGTTGTCCGCATTTTGCAGATCATGTGTAGTTCGGCTCCATGGGTAAAAATGGAAAATGCTGCAGTGCTAAGGAGTTTCCGCTAAGCTAAGGAGTTTCCGCTAAGCTGAGCTTGGCCAGCATCACAGGGAGAGACTGGAGAGACAAGTTTATGCAGTGGAAAGTTTCCCTAGCTATACTTAAATCAACCAGCTGTAATAAAGCAATCCGAAAGAGGATATCAAACATATGAAAAATTATTCAAAAGCTGTTGCTCTTTGTTTTGAGTCTCTATGAATACTTCTGACACCTAGGCTTTTTAGCAATACAGGTGTCGTGTCCTTAATGAAATCTATAGCAACTGAAAATATAATGCAGAAGGCAGCGCTCCTGCAATGTTTTCCATTGATTTTCTTTCTTCTCTTGGCTTTTGTTATTTTTCCAGACTCTTTTATTATGATTTTGAACATTTTTCTAAGAGGCCTTTGTTTGTGCCCCTTAAGTACCACGGGTGGTAATTTCTGAATTGCCTCCTGAAGGACACCGTGTGAGGGGTGTTTGAATGGGGCCACATATCCAGCCACTGACCTTCCCTTGCGCAGATCCAGCCACCGAAAATCACCAGTCCCAGCCCTGCGGTCAGTGATGCAGTTGCATGTTAGGATGGTGGAACATCATTATCTGAGCTGCAATCATTGTTACCATTCTAGGTAAGCTTCTCATTACTATGAATGGGCTTTTCTTCACAAGAATCCTGTGATGTAGAGAAAGTGTTATTATCCCGCTTTGCAGATGAGGAATTGTAGCATAAAGAGACAGTATGGCTTGCCTCAAGTCCTACATGTAGCATGTGGTAAAACCAGAAACTTAATCCAGAGTTTGAGTGTAGATCCAGTCAGTCTAACCACTAGTTCATCTTCTTTCTCAAGCTCTGTTTCTCAGGGCTCCACTCCTGAAAATTTTGGGGAGAAGGAGCAAAGCAGTACTGAAGAAGATGTGCCTGCACAAATTCTGTTGAGCAGAAAACAAAGTAGTTAAATGGAGATGATGGGAGTAGGTATATTTACACAGAAAACTTTCTGCAGAAACATCCTGTTTTTTCAAGTGTCTAAACCAAGAAGAGGGACATGCATACGATATGTCACTTCAACATTGTAAATGTAAGAAAGAACTTCCAGCTCTTACTGGCCAAGTTTCATGCAGGAGCGGGTGAATCACAGGGACGTTGCGGGCATCTTAGGCCAAACCTGCAAACACATCAGTGATTCCCATGAACGACTGTCCGCATTAGGAGTACCACTGTACTTTCTTCAACAGTTGTGGCATTTGCCTCAGATCCTGTCATAGCACATATGGTTTGAGCTGTTCCCCACAGCAGTTCCTCTCACAGAACAAGGATGTGCCAAGCGCATGCATCCACAGCTATCTGCGTGAGATGGTTCTGGTGCATTTTTCGTAGTTTTGGGTACCTCCCCTGCCTTGTGTCTCAACAGAGTGCCCAAAGGCATATTGAGTAGCCTTCCCCCCACCCCAGCATAAATGGATAAGAAGCCAACCTCTCCAAGGCAGGTCCAGCAGCACAGTCAGGAGGCTCGTCTACATTGCAAAAGCATGTGCCAAATAGTTGTCAGAAGACAGTCATGTGCCAGGCTCTGCTTCTGGCAGGGATGGTACATATTTAGCTGCCATGGTTACTAACAAAGTACTAATCATGTTGGTGTGTGAGAACAAACTGTTGTAGGGAGCCAACCATGCCTGTAAAAAACTCAATTAAACCTTCAGCAGACTGAACTGAGTTGGACAAATGACTCTGACCAACAGTTTGGACTCTGCTTTATTATAGTTAGTTCCTCAAGAGCTAAGGCACTTTGCTTTTACCACTTTCCAAGTATTTCTGAAATGTCCCCCTGACTAAATACTGACCATTCCTCTAATATCTTTCCCACTTTGTTGACAGTCTTACCCACATTGTTGACTACTTCTTCTCTCATATCCAAAGGTAGTAATATGCAATAACTTTATCTTTCAAAAACTTCTTCTTTCTCTAATTCTGTCTTCAGGGTCTTACCTAAGCATAAAAATGGCCAAGCAGAATTAACTCAATATTCATATGAACCTCTGATGATAAGTGATATTTTTCCCACCCTGTGTGCCAGAATGCTTGTTAGGTAGCTTACAACAACGCAACAAATGGAAATACGTTGTTTTGCCGGCCTTGATGATGTATGTGAAAGAATGATTACTTTCTGAAAGGGAAAAATTGCTTTTTAATTCCAAATATAATGATACAATGCGTTGTTCTCTTTTTTAAAATGAACAATAAAATGAGCATGTTAGCTGTGCCTAAATAGCAGTGTGTGGGTGTAACACTCATAAACACCATGGGATTCCTCTATTTCTAGGGCAGCTGTATACAACGCAGTGAAGGTGTGGACCAGCAATTGCAAGTGGTTAAGTCACCTATTCATTGAGCCACATTAATTGACCAGATGCACATTCCTCACCTGTGGCGACTGTGTATCTTCATGAAGGCAGTCTAAGCACATGCGTTTGCTTTACAGCTGCCACAGGCAAAGAGCTAGGAGTGCGGTCAATTAACGTGACTCAGCTAACAAGAAGCAACGCGTTAAGCTCTGCTGGGTTAATCACTTGCAAGGGTCTATTCATAACCTAATGCTGAAGTTGAGTCTGGTCATAACAGTCAGCTTGAGGAGAAGATGAGCAAAAGCGGGGAGGGGAAGCATGTCTGGCTTCTTACTTGTCTTCTCAACCACATGACACTACTGGAAAAATTGCCTGCTTTGAAAGAGGAAGCTATGGGGGATATTCACCTTCCCATGCTTTCGCTACATGGTTCCTCCCGGTGAGCAAGTTAGGGTAAGGGAAAATTTTACTTGCTCTCTCCAGAAGAGGCAGTAGTTTGAGCCTGAAGTCCCAGCAATCCCTCTGAACCTGAACGGAGTTTGGATTCACGCTCCTCTACATAGCAGCCTGCTGACTGCCCGTGTGGAGCCTGACAAGCCGTGCCTGCCTTGCATGGCTCTGTAGATAGAGCCTTATAGCCCTTATGGCCATATAGGTGTGTCTCTTTCCAAATTGGATCCATAGGACAGAGACTTGGAGCACAAGCTACGGTTGTCTTTTGCTAAATTAGCATAAGGCAGATTTACAACACACCAAGAAAGCGAGAGGAGAATGGAAAAGTACATGTGTCCTCTTGGCTCAGTGACTTCTCACTCAACATGTAAAGGCCTGAACTTGGCAAAGTAGCTCAGATTTCTTCTGCATAATGAAGAGAAGATCTATGAATGAAAGGAGCTACCAAGTGCAAATCTAAAGGGAATTTCTCAGATAAAAGGAACATTTCTATCAGAAAGCTAAATAGCTATAGCGAAAAGGAGTACCATATAGTTGCTTCACTGTGAGGCTGCAGTGAAAGCTCAGAATGATACCTTCATTCGTTTTCCTTTTTCTGATAGAAATACAACCCTACAAACAATAGCATTTTTACACTAAGTATGCATGCAAAAAAATCCTTTGGCTTGCAAGAGGCCGCTCCAATAATTGGGTTTCTAAAGTGTTTTCTGTAACTTCCCTTCATTTTATCGTATGCTTGTATGTGGCCTTGGAATGTCACAGTTAAGATACCACCCAGTGTCTCTGCTTCCTGTCTCACCCTCTGGCTGTCTCCTCTGTTTAGGTTGCATGTTGCTGTTATATGTTTGCACATCGCCTGGCATTAAGCAACTTCCAATTTGTTTGGCTTCTCTGCTTGCTATTGTGATGCAAATACTAAATAATGCTATGCTATTATTTTTACTATTACTGCAGAATCTCTAGGGATTAACTTTGTTTTCCTGTTTATGAAAATATTGGTTTCTTGGTCTTACCAGAGATCAGGGGCCATTCCATCAGGCACTGTAAAAAGCAGGCTTTCCTGCAGTATGCTACTATGAAACCAGACGGGATGGTCACTGAACAGAAGGAAAAAAAAACCCTGGAATCCTGTTTGACATCTAATTTTCTCTACATGACTGTTAATGTTCCTAGGTGCCTTATTAATAGCATGGAGTGTTTTACAGTCTTATCTCAGTAGTAGTGCTGGCTACATTCAAGTATTTTCTTAGGAAGCTTCTTTCTTCATCCTGGAAAAGATCCTCTGAAATCAACAGGAACTTTGGGTAAATGACTTATTAGGTCTCTGAACCATTTACGATCATCCTTACCAGCATCCTGCCCACATTCTGAAAGCTGCCAATGCCTCCTTGTTTTTGTTCTTTAATCTTTTCCTTCTTTTTGAGTTTCTAATCTCCACTTTCATTAAAGATTTGTACTCTCTCCTCTTCTTTTTGAAAGGGGCTGTACCTAACCCCAGCCCTCTCCTAAACTGCAAACTAGGTGGACTTACGTTCTCGCTGGTATTAACCTGCCTGCCGCTCTAGCCCAGCCAGCTCAGTGCAACTGAGAGTGGCAACCGGATGACAACTTTTATTTCAGTAATGATGTAAACCACCATGACTTTTTTTTTTCTTTAAGCTGTTCAAGCCCTCCCTCTTTTTTGTTTTTTCCCAAAAGAAACATGAAAAATAAATTAGCATTCCTAATGTTTTCAGAATAAATCTATTTCTGGCTTTGAACAACACAACAGGATGCTGTATCCAGTATTGGGGGTGTTTTATTCTTGTAAGGGGAATTTTGTCCTCCCCATGAAACATTCTTTGGATTCCCAAACACAGGGAAGTACCCCACTCTGATGCTGACCCAAGACGTTAAATGACTTAAGTGGAAGACATACCATTCATATTACATTTCATCTGATAAATTGCAGTGTACCTTTTCCATTACTTTTTTTTTTTTTAAACTACACCGTTTACTGTAGCTAGTTTAACTAGGTATTTAATTTTTGAGCCTGCAAACAGAACCTGATGGATAGGTAGTACTAAAAGCCCACTTGCAACAGTATCTGGCTGTGCAGTCAGCCGTTCCATTACGATGCCTCCTTCATTTATGTAACTGGCAGTGAGTTGCATCGACTCGTATATTGTTGGTATTTTTGATTTCCTGCCAACCTGCTAGACTAATTTGGAATAACTTTCAGTCCCAAGCCACCAGAGATTGACGACATTTGTTTTGAACGGGGCATTCATATTCATGAGAAAAAAACAACCGCCCTCAGCATATGAACGGTGACTGTGTGCCCTGAAGCTTCTGCTCTTTGAACTTGCAACTGGAACCTCAAACCATATTATCATTAAGTACTGGTGTTTATGTCGTGTCCATAGGACTGGTCAGAAGAGGTGGGGCTCGCAAAAGAACAAGATGACAGGATAAGAAAAACATGCCGAGCTTTTCCTAGAATCAGAATCCCACTACTGCTAATAGTTAGAGTTGTATATGCACTAGAGCAGTCACAGGAGGCTTTCAGAAAACCTTCAGGTCAAGCCAGAGGCAGGGTATTTGTGAAGTTGCCTCAAAAATTAAACGCGGGAGTCACAGAATCTGCAGAAAATGCATGTGTGCAGCTACACAGCTTTTTATTACCAGGCCCTCAGTCTCACTGATTGGTTCTTGGAGAAAGTGTGGTTTTGCCTGCCGAGCTGCACTGCCGGACACAGAGAGTTTGCCACAACATGGTACAGTCACCCGAATGGGGCTGCGCCCAAACACCTGCCTGTTGTTCCCAAATACGATAAGCCCACTGATGTAGCAAATAACACTGACAATAGGGTACATGCGAATGGCCCGAGTGAATGCACCCTCTAGCAGCAGAAAATTATTCGCAGGTGCTGAGGAAATGAAAGCTAAATGTTTATGGCCATAATCCCAGTGAATAAGCAATAGCTCTAGCCACATGTGATAGGCAATGGTATACACGTCATCACAGTCCATTCTAGCTGCATGGACGTTGCCCATAATATCTGGTAGGAGAAGGTTTATCTGAAATGGAAACGGATGGTAACATCCATTCTGACTTCTAGTCTCAGCTTTGCAAAGGGAAGTGAGATCTCAGTCTGTGCCAAAACGAGGACAAAACCATGCATGTAAGTTGAAATATGATTAAGAATAGCATGGAGTCCCATGAATGCTGGAACTAACATTTTACTTTCTTAAGGTTTCTGTCCTGTAATCGATTCCCTGATGACTAGTAAAAGTCAAATGACCGAAGTTTTTGTTGCAGTGGAGACGGTCACAATGTCTCTACTGTGGGATTTCTCTGCAGTCTAACAAAAGAAAATAGCATTCTGTGGCTGGCCAGGGTTTCTCTCATCTCTCGGGCCACCTATTTTAATAAAACTTGCAGAAGCTTACAAATCTGAGCTTTCTAGCTTTCTTATGACAAACATGCACATATACAGTGTGCACAACTTGAAGTATGGTAAGAGAAACCTTGTTTCCTTAGGAAAAAAAAAGAAACTCTCACACAAATCTGGAAAGAAAGCAAATAGAATAACTGGAAAATAGCTTTAGAGAACTCTTCGCATTTTCATATTTATGTATTTGGGAGAATGCGATTGTAGCCTTGAAAATAAGACTATCCAATTATTCAACTGACATGATGGAAATCATATCTGTCATAGGCAGGTAATAATACCTTTTTTTTCCCAGCTTTATGCCTTCAGCAATATATGGTGGCATTAAGTTCTACCAGCTAATTGCACTGTAAATCCAAATATTCTCTGAAAGTCTATTTCCTCTGGGTCTTGAGTGAGTGCCTTTTCTCTGCTATACGGCAAAAGTGAGCATGGAGCATTTAATCAACCATTTTCCTTCCCTTCATTATTCCATATTTAAACTTAAAGGAAACTTTCCTCAGATGTAGTTGTTGAGTAACAACTGTGCTGTCTAACGTATCATAGCACTAGGATATCTAACTTGAATTAAATACGCTCATGCTATATCCAAAGACTAGAATAAGGAGCCTTAACGCCTTGAAGGCCTGCTGCAAAAAAATGGTTCACTCATTTGACTTAATTGGTAAGTTGCAAACTAAAAGACTGTCAAATATTTCTGAGGAATGGGCCCTTTTCGGAAGTATCTTGCTGCTGCATGCACCTTCAGCGTTTCAGCCAGGTGGCAGCAGCAAGGGCAGCCCAATGGGTTGGAGCTGGTGTAGCAAAGCTGAGACCGCCAAAGCTTCCTTCTCACTGTACTGACGCTTGTATTAGGCCTCTTCTAGTAAGACGAGACCTTGGATGATCAGTGTGTTATTATTACCACCAGCGCTTTGAATGGCACTGAAAATAGTTTTAACCAAGGTTTATTGCCCTGTGTTGTATTTCACTTATTCCAGGAATGTCTCCTTTTCATGTGAGGTAGCCGCAGCAGCACAGTAGGTGGTTGCAGTGTGGAGAAGCGTCTTTCCTTCCAGTCCGTCAGTGACTTCAGTCTTGTGAAATGCACCACTTTCACCCAAGTCTTACCTACAGAATGTTATGGAAGTGTTTAAAGAAAAAATATTTGAGGTGACGGTAATAAAACACCCACACTGAGTCATACAAGCAAGTTTCTGTGAAAAATTGCAGGAATGACC